ATAACAGTAATCCACCTTGTCTCATACAAAAATAATGGGAAATGGGCATTGTGTCTGTTGACCTTGGGAGCAGAATACATTTAATACATAATTACCTATACAATTCAGATTAATTGGTTAGAACTTAAGAAGATCCTAGTAGGAGAAACCCCTATAATGAGAAAGAAAATAAGCATTTCTAAGTATAAGGGCATATTAGGAGGAGATGGTAGAGAGAGCTGAATTTTGGCCTCATGCTAGAGTGAGATTAAACATATTGAAAGATGGGCTGTTTGGGATCAAGGATTTCTGCTCTTGGCAAATGAGGTTTGGAAAGGAGAAATTTTAGTTCTAAGTTAAATAGTGTAATAATGGAGTTGGAGCCTTTTGAGAGCAAGCATCTCCTGTTTCTGGCGTTGGGGAGGCACTGTGAGGGAGAGATATGCAAGACTGCACAACCAAATATCAACTCGGTGACACGCACAGGAAAGCTTCTGCAAAGTCCAACACAAAAGGTTGTGTGAAACCCATAGGAATAAGAGAAAGACACGTTTTTGGTAAGTGTGGAACTAAACTAAACTTCATGGGCTCTGAGTTTCTTGCTGATCCTGAACCTTTGGGGATTTGAGTTTATTTACTCTGGGAAAATCCATCTTCCAAGTACTAAGGGAAAAAATGTAGCTTCAACATTTGCTGAACACCAACTAACTCTTTAAAACCATACAGGGATGAGTGAAGTAAAAATGAATCACAAACATGCAGATTAAATTTCTCCTAAACTGCACCAGAGTTTAAAGGGCAAGTGAAAAAGCACTTGAGGCAAAAGACATTTTGGCTTTTGCAGAACCTAAAACATTTCTAATGAGTTTGAATTCATTCAATTAACTTAAGATTCAGCAGAGTTCTTTTTTCCCAGCGTTCAACCTAATGATATACATACAGCTGCCATACACATACACATGCAGCTGCCATCACCTTAAAGAGGCAATTACTTTTGTTTTATGAAAATGAACTTTTTGTGCAAATTGGTAGTCACAAAATAATCACAGGGATATAAAAGTACAGTATAGCAGTATAGTCAATAATATTGTAATAACTCTGTATGATGCCAGGTGGGTACTAGAATTATCAGGGGGGTCACTTTGTAAATTATATTAATATCTAACCACTATGTTGTACACCTGAAACTAATATAAAATAATGTTGACTGTCAACTGTAATTGAAACTTTTTTATTTTTAAAAAGAAAATTAACTTCTTGATCCAAGAGCACTGAGAGAAATATCATGATAATGACAAAAATAGTAATCCAATGGCCTTTAGTATAAATGATAGAACTCAAAGTTCTATATTTAATATTGGGCACAAGACTAACAACCCTGAGAGATATGACATAAAAACAAAGCATTCTCTTCTAAAAACTTTATATTTCAAATACTATAGTGAGTCTATAGCAGTAATTTGTGTGTCATCCAATCACCTGTGGAAAGTATTATTATGAATGTGTACTAGGTAGCAGGTATCATTGGAGATAAATAGTAAGGATGTAAAATTATCCATGTATTCATCAGTTTACTTTTTGCTCAAGAAGAACCTCATTTGGTAATTAATACAATGTGTTATGTTATTGAGGTTTCTTTTTACTCCATCTTCCCTCCTTTTTTGGACTAGATGAATATCCCCTATAAATCTATTTTCTTTTGTCGTTATCTCTCATCTCTCAGCCTGTCAGATAAACATACATCTTTCCTTTTAATAGGTACTCAAATACTGAGAAGTTGTCACATCATTAATCCACTTATTTCTCCACTAGATTCCTCTACTTTTGCCAACCTACTTCAGACAAGGATCCCTCTGCCTTTTTTTTTTTTTATCTGTTCTTTAAAATAGTATATAACTAACCTTGATTAAGAGTGCCTCAGTGGTCTGGCTTGATCTAGGTGTAGAATTTAGAATATTTGAGAATGAAAGTAGAGATTCCACATCTTTCAGGCAACTGTCCGTGATTATGATTTTTTGAGGCTGAACTTGAGGTAAGTTCTGTATTCAACTGTACAAAAAGAGTTAGAAACATCGATGGAATGTAGAGTCTATTAGACAGCCTGTGCTAATTACAGTTTTGTGATATCCCTCTCAATAAAACTCAAACAATCATTATAATACAGAGATGTCTGTATATATCATACTTTGGTTGAACACATTTGATGTCACAGACAGTGTGCTTGCATCTGGCATGAACCCAACAAAAAAGGTATCATTACTATGTCAATGTACAGATGAGGAGTCGAAATTTCAGAGAAATTCGGTGACTTGACCATGATTACCCTGCTGGAAAGCAGCAGAGGCAGAATTTGAAGAGGTTTGTAGAGGCCAGGCCTGATCTGTTAACTCGCAGTTTTCCCAGGGTCCAGTAAAGGGAGATCGTTGGCTGGAGTTAGAAGGCAAGAGCTAGAATTTTGTTTTGTTACCTTAATTTGGTTAAGGGAAAGGAATGACACTTCAGGGAAAAGAACTCGAGTTGGGTTGTGTTTTTCTTTTCAATTAAATTTTATTTTACAAGAATCCTTGATGAAACCAGAGGGAAAGTCTTATTTCTCCTCTCTCCTTCAAACAAGTCCCCAAAATGTCCCTTCTAATCTCTGACTTCTGTAATTATTATTGGAGTGGCCTATCCTGTTAAAAAAAAAAAAAAAAAAAAAAAAAAAAAAAAAAAAAAAAAAGCATTGGGGTCCCCCTGCTTCAGAAGACTTCTCCATAGCGGGAGAGACTCCCCACATCCAGAGGGAAAAGGTCACAGATTTAGATTTTAATGTGAATATGCATTTGGAGAAAGAAACATGAAAACAGTATATGACTGACAAAGGAGAAGACAACTGGTCAACCTGTTGTCATTGTACAAGTCCTGGGAACTTTTCTCTGGGAGCCAAAATAAAGCATTCATCTCCTCTGTCCCTTTTGTAGAAGACTCAAAACAGTCAATGGATTTCCATTCCTCTTCTTAAAGCCACTTCTTTTCCACTCCCTCTACAACCTACAATCCCACCACAACATAAAACTTTTTTTCCCCTCAGCCAACAAATTTTCTGGTCACCACAACAAGCAGATTCACAGAGCAAATGAATAATTTGAAATGTGACAAGTATCTCATCTGATTCACAGAAAGAAAAAAGTCAAGATGGCTGCTGCCAAAATGGAAACACTGTCTGGAAAATTCTTGAAAATATCTTTACAATCTCAAATTGGGCAAGTGAATATACCCTAAGTAAAAACTTGCAATGTCCCAAAATATAAACAAGGTAAAAATTTTAAGTTGATAATGTTAAGATAGAAATAAAAATGCTGATGGGGCCAAAACCGGTTTGACTCAGTTGATAGAGCATTGGCCTTCAGACTGAAAGGTCCTGGGTTCGATTCCAGTCAAGGGCATGTACCTTGGTTGCAGGCACATCCCCAGTGGGGGGTGTATAAGAGGCAGCTGGTCCATGATTTTCTCTCATCGATGTTTCTAACTCTCTATCCCTCTCTCTTCCTCTCTGTAAGAAATCAATAATTTTTTTTTTTTAATGCTGATGGGTCCATATAAATGAACTTTTTTTTCTTCTAATATTGTTTACTTTTAACACTTGAGCTGCTGATTAGAAATCCCTGCCGGGTAGGGAGTAAGCAGTAATAGTCCTAGACTTCATATAGAAGGGGCTTATGGGAAACCATCTGGACATAAGGGAGGTTGGGAACTTGAAGGCAATCTAGCAGCTTACAAATATCACTTAGATAGTAGTTATTGGCAGTGGGCACTAGGAGAGTAAGCTAATGAAGATTATGGTGAAACTTAACACCCATACACACTCCAGACCACAGGAGTCAACAATGCCGGTTGTCTACCCAGCATCCATCCCTACTGTCTTTCTGCCTGAGAGAACCCTGGTTTTAATCAGTCAACCACTAATTCTCTTCACAGCCATACTCCTTTGGGGGACATGTTCCAGAACCAAACCCAACTGCTCTAAGATAACCCCAGGGGCCTTTTAAGGAATGTTTTCGGAGTAAGTATATGACTGGACTCTAGCCAACATGATGTGAGGAAAAGTTTGCTGGAGGTTCCTAGGAAGTATTTCCTCACTCATAAACCAGTCTTCTCTGCCATGTACCCCGGCCTGAGTGGACGTGACTCCTGGCACTGCTGTAGTCATTGTGCTCCCAAACTGGAAGATTCAGTCAACCCAGGGGCTGGCTGGTGATGGAGATGGAAAGAACCTGGGCTGTTGATATTGAAGCAACACACTCAAGAGATCATCCTGCCTTTGGATTTCTTATCACGTGAAACAGTAAATCTTCATATGTTTAATCCAGTTGGCTTAGGGTTTTCTGAGGTTTGTGCCCAAAGCAATCCAATGTATATAGTTGCTCCCTGTCCTTCATTCCCACTCCTACTCCCACCCCCAACCCTTGACACAAACACTGGCTTGGAGGTTAGAGGAACTTCAAGATGTCTTTCCAGAATTTAGGGTCAGGAGCAAACAACACATCCTATCTAATAAAAGAGTAATATGCAAATTGACCATCACTCCAACACACAAGATGGCTGCCCCCATGTGGACACAAGATGGCCACCACAAGATGGCGAGCAGGGGAGGGACCAGGTCTGCAAAGGAGGGAAGTTGGGGGAGACCCAGGCCTGCAGGGGAGGGCAGTTAGGGGCAAGCAGGCTGGCAGGGGAGAAGTTAGACTTCAATCAGGCCGGCAGGGGAGTGGTTAGGGGGTGATCAGGCTGGCAAGCAAAAGCCGGGAGGGGCAATCAGGAAGGCAGGCAGGTGAGCAGTTGGGAGCCAGCAGTTCTGAATTGTGAGAGGGATGTCTGGCTGCCCATTTAGGCCCTATCCTACCTATGAAATTTTGTGTATTGGCCTTTTAAGAATGTGCCTGCATTTCCAGCAATCTCTCAAAACAACCCTGCTGCTTTTCACAGCCAGATGGTATGTGGCACTTTTCTCAGTTATGATGCTCTGGACTAGGGAGCCCAGCTTGGGGTTTAGACCCTAGAGGTGTCAGTGGGAACCCTCACAGCTGAGATATCCATCCAGAATGTCAGCTGCTGCCTGTGGGAGCCCAACCAGCCCTTTCACACCTCCATCACTTCTATCAGTCTCTAGTGGTCTTCACTTTCCATCCTTGGTTATCAGGGATCTCCCTAGCTAGTCTTTAGTTGATTTTTCAGGGTGGTTCTTCTGTATTTTAATTTACTTCATTTGGTTCTGGAAGAGTGTCAGTGTAGCTTCCACTTACTCTACCAACATTTTTGAATCTCTGGATCATTTTTTAACAAAACATAATAGAATCTTCCCAAATCTATTCCTCTCTGCTCTGATCAGTGATCCTTTCTCTGAATGTTTGTATTCTTTATCATATATTAATATATCTACACCAATAAATGTTATCATTTTGTGTGCCTTTAAACATTTCATAAATTATATCATAATGTACAATTTTAATTGAAATCTTCACATCTCTTTAATTCACTTTAATTATCTCTCTGAGACTTATAACATGGTAGAGGTAGTTCTTTCCATCCAATTTATCAGCTTTACTAGTATAGCATGTAATTTGCTCATTCTTCTATTGGGGAACATTTAGATAGTTTTCAGGTTTTTTTATTGAAATAATTCTGTGATAAACATTGACCTTCTTCTAAACATGTGTGAGGGTTTCCTTTTGATGTTTAGATTGAATCATGTGAAATTGCCAATATTCAACCATTCTGAACTACAAAATGACAAATTCATATGGCTCAACTTATTACATACCTAGAAATGAAAATGCCAGTTGATAGGTTAAACTTTTTAAACTCAATCAAGTACAGCCAAAGACTGAGAGATGGTTTTCTAAAACCCTTTTGAGATAAACATCTAAATCTTAAATACTCAATTTACAGAGTTCATTCCATAGAGAAAATATGTTTCTACATCTGAGAGAGAAGGAGAGAACAAAGAGAAAGAACCTGGAGTTTCTTAGGTATCTCTGTCATCTAGCAAATTTTAGAGATGATGGTGCTATGCTTTCTTTCAAACCCTCAAGTTTCACTTCCCAGAGGCAAAGACATCATATATGACAGGGAAAAAAATGATACACTATTCTAGTAGATCTATTCAATGAAGTGAGCTTGTTTTTAAGAAACAGCCCAAGGAAGTATTTGGAATTATAAATTGTCTAATGTTAAAATAGCAATATCTTTGCTTGTAGCTGCTTTTTCTTAACTAGATCCAGAAAGGAAAGTGAAGAGATTCTTTTTTTCCTTTTTTACTGAATGTACTAGAGGCCCGGTGCACAAATTTGTGCATGGGTGGCATCCGGCCAGCCCAACCCCAATGGGTGTATCGAGGCCAGGCCTGTCAGAAGGAAGAGATGGTGGGAGGTTGGCCGGCTGACTGTCCAGCCGGCTGGCAGCTGACCTGTCCCAATTGGGGCCTGATTAGGGTAAGGCTGGCTGGGGGGAAGAGCCACAGGTGATTGGCCAGCAGGCACGGCCTCGATTGGGGTAGGGGGGCCAATTGGGGATGGGACCAGCCATGGGGAGGGGATGTGGTGGTGGGTTGGCAGGGCTGATTGGGAGCCAGCGGCCTTGGGGAGGGGCCATGGGTCCTTGGCCAGCTGGCCCTGCCCTTGATTGGAGTGAGGGACTGATTGAAGGCAGAGCTGGCTGGGGGAGGGGCCATGGGTTGATGAGAGTAGTGGGGGCCCATCAGGGACAGGGCCAGTCAGGGGTAGCGGCTACAGGCAATTAGCCAGCTGGCCCTGCCCCTGATCAGGGTGGATGGGGTGGGGGGACGATCTGGGGTGGGGCCAGGTGAGGGGAGGGGTTGAGGGCCATTCAGGGTGGTGGGGGCCCACCAGGGGTGGGAGCAAGCATGTGGAGAGGCTGCAGGCCAATCAGGGTGGGGCAGGTCAATCAGGATGGGAGAAGCTTATCAGGGGTGAGGCTGGCTTGGGAGAGGGGACATGGGAGGTTGGCTGGCCAGCTTCACCCCCCATCAGGCCTGTTCATTGGCTGCAGTGAGTATCATAATGACTGGTCATTCTGGTCTTTACAGCACTTCAGTCACTGGCTTTATATACATATAGATTAGGGGTGACATTGATTAATAAAATTATATAGGTTTCAGGTGTACAATTCTATAATCCATCATCTGTATATTGTATTGTGTTCACCACCCCAAGTCAAGTCTCCTTCCATCCTTCCATTACCATTTATCCCCTCTATATCCTCTTCTACCTCTTCTAGTAATCACCATACTATTGTCTATGTCTGTGAGTTGTTTTTTGATTGTTTGTTTTGCTTTGCTAAATTCCTTCACCTTTTTCACCCAGCTACACAACCCCCTTCCCTCTGACAGCTATCAGTCTGTTCTCTACCTATGAGTGTGTTTCTATTTTGTTAGTTTATTTTATTCATTAGGTTTTACATATAAGTGATATCATGTGACACTTGTCTTTCTCTGATTGGCTTATTTCACGTAGCATAATGGTCTCCAGGTAATCTCCATCCTGTCTCAAAGGATAAGATTTCCTTCTTTTTTATGGTTAGGTAGTTTTTCACTGTGTAAATATACCAATGCTTTTTTTTTTTTTTTTTTTTCCCCCCTACTCATCTACTGATGGACACTTGGGCTGCTTCCAAATCTTGGCCATTATAAATGATACTGCAATGCATAGGGATGCATATATTCTTTCAAATTGGTGTTTCAGGTTTCTTCAGATATATTCCCAGAAGTGGAATTGCTGGGTCACAAGGCAGTTCCATTTTTTATTTTTTGAGGTTACTCCATGCTGCTTTCTACAGTGACTGCACCAATCCACATTCTCACCAACAGTATATGAGGGTTCCCTTTTCTCCACATCCTCATCACACCTGTTTGTTGATTAATTGATGAATAGCCATTCTGACAGATGTGAGGTGATATTTTATTGTGGTTTTAATTTACATCTCTTGGATAATTAGTAACATTGAGCATCTTTTCATATGTCTATTAGCCATCTGTATGCCCTCTTTGGAGAAGTGTCTATTCAGGCCCTTTACCCATTTTTAATGGGATTGTTTGGGGGCTTTTGGTTTTGAGTTTTATAAGTTCCTTATAAATTTTGGATATTAACCCCTTATCAGATATATCATTATGTTCTCCCATTCAGTGGGTTGTCTTTTCATTTTGTTGATGGTTTCCTTCCCTGTGCAAAAATTTTTCAGTTTGATGTAGTCCCATATTGCCCAAGGCAATATATCAGAGAGAAAAAATATTACTATGAGAAATGTCCAAGATCTTACTGCCTATGTTTTCTTCTAGGATTTTTATGATTTTGAGTCTAACATTTAAGTTTTTAATCCATTTTGAGTTTATTCTGTGTATGGTGTAAGAAGGTGGTTTCTTCTTTTTATGCACATAACTGTCCAATTTTCCCAACACCAATTATTGAATAGACTATCTTTACCCCTCTGTCAAATATTAATTGACCAGAAAAGTGTGGGTTTATTTCTGGGCTCTCTATTCTGTTCCATTGATCTATTTGTGTGTTTTTATGCCAGCACCATGCTGCTTTGATTACTATGGCCTTGTAGTATAGTTTGAAAACAGGTAGCATGATTCTTCCAACTTTGCTCTTCTTTCTCAAGATTGCTGTGACTATTCAGGTCTTCTGTGGTTCCACATAAATTTTTGCAATATTTGTCCCAGTTCTGAGAATGCAAGGAGTAAAAGTTTGTGTCTTGACACAGGATAAGATGAGCTGATATTTGCTTTCTCAAGTGTATATGTTATTCCTATAGATGATTTGGCAATTATATTCTAGAGGTCTCCACTGGAAGTTACCATGTAACCTGTACTCCTAAAATGTGCACCACCTGCCTGTAAACACTATTGACAGTGCTTGAAGATTCCCATAACATAAAAATGCTGAGACTTGCTTATCAAATATGATATCTATTAATAGATTCTTCAAATTCATTTGTAATTATTAGAAATGCACTGACTACCTTCCACCAACAAATATTGCCTTAAACACAATGCACAAGATTAGGTCCTTGTGGAAATCTTTAAGTATTTTAGTTAGGTCAGGAGTCCTGAATATAATTCCTTAGATATTTTTTTTTCCAGGTGATTGACATTTAGAAAATATCTTTATGTCCTCACTAAGTTAAATGTTATCTGCCTTGTATGTATAAATTATGATATTATATCTAACATGTCCACATTTTGCTACAGTAACAAACAACCTCAATACATCAATGGTTTACAACAAATATCTATCTTGCCCTGGTTTCATGAGTGGTGTTGGTTGGCTATAGTTCTTCTGGTCTCTGCCCAGCTCCACACCCATTCATCTCCACTGGCCAGCGTATGTCACATGATGAAGCTCAAAGCCACAAGTCAAGCAAGTATACGGAGGCAGGGGCAAATCACACTTCACAGGAAGAGGGATTTAGAATTCCATTACAGGGAAGGAGTGAATTGTGGTAAACAACAATCCAATATATCAAAGTTTCACATAGCTTCTTTGTTCAGTCAATGATAGAAAAGGGGAAAATACAATGTAAGTTGGTGCTCATTAACTAAGTTGTGCTTTGAAGTCACATCAAATCTGACACATTCAGTGTAATAAATACCACAGGCCCCTAAGGTGGAAGTCAGGAATTGCTGAAAGTTTTTATTCCAATTCTCTCAGTTTAATCACTTTAGATGCTTTTCCATCTAAAGAGTATGACAAACAGATAATGAATAATATCTTTAATAGCATGAAGTCTTCCCTTGTTCAAATATTTTTCCATTTCTGTTCTGGCCTTGTCTTCAAAGGTACAGTCTATTTCTCATGGATGGTATCCCTGGGGGGGGGGGGGGGTGTCCCTCCTTGGAGGCTGGGTTTGAAAAGTGCAACTGGTATCAAATCTTCTGGCTCAGATAAATACATGGTCAAGGTAAGTGACAGAGTTGGGGATGGGTAAGAGCAATTAGTAGACCTCTTGAATAGTTTGCATACTGGTTCTGAAGGTAATTTCAAATCAGCATTTTTGAGAATATTTTCTTCAATGGGAGCATCATTAGCATAGATGCATCAGCTCTTAAGGTGATTCTTCAAAAAGTAAAGCTCACTTGATGATGCAAGTTCTGATTTTTGTTGTTTTTGTTTTGTCTTCCAAATTCTCATTCTCTGGTCTTCCCCACATGTACTTCATAGTGACGACTTGTAGTAAACATAGTCAGTATTTGTTCCCGTTTTCTACAGCAAGCCAAAACAGGTTATCCAAACCGCCAATAAGGATTCCGAGAGCCTGAGATGACCGCTCCATTATGCTCGTTTCCATGGGGATACAAACCCAGTTCTGGTCCTTGACCAATTTCATAAATTTGCATGTTATCATCATCTGTGAGTCCACACGGGTACTTTAAGCCAATAGCCTCTTCCACTCAAAGCAGAGAAAAAACTGATCATCTCTATGTATGTCCCAGTGGAAATTCTAAGTGAATGGGAGATGGCAAATTAAACTTTCTTTTATGATAACAAATCCAAGGTAATTGATGCAATGTGGGCCTCTGACAAAACAAATACTGTTTGGTTACAGATATATGGAAATAAGACTATTTCTCTCCAAAGTCATACCCACGTCTTGGAAATTCCATGTAGGAATAAACTTTAGAGAGGGAATGCCTAAAGCTCATAGCAGTGCACTGTAACTCATTGATTTCCATTCTTCGGAAAATCAGCGAGAGGTTTTCAAACTCTCATGGTATCAGGAACCTGATAAGGACCATAGTCCCAGCCCCTAGATGATGGCTGAGGCCCTTAATAGGATAGACCATGGTGAAATCTGTCCTACTGGGGCGCAGCTGGAATTAAACCCCCCTCTGCCCAGTCTGAACTTTACATCTGCTGGCTTATCTCCCTTCAGCTTTATTTCCCTTTTCTTCCCTTTTTGGCAGGGGGTAGGGGACGGAGTGGTTAAAAAAAAGGGGGGGGGGGGGATAGGGGAGCTCATTGTGGAAATCCGTTGGCCAAAGGCATTCACACCAGTGTCAACTTCAAACCAGTCCAGGCAACAGAATGACCTCCAAGCCACTCTTTGTAAATCTGAGTTCTTCTCCCTGCACTGCCCTCTTTAAAAGAAGTATCTCTTGCACCATCTAGCCCCTCTCAGGCAGCCCTGCTGTTGACATTTCTGAGCTATAGGAATGTTCTCCATTTCAGTACCTTCACATTGAAAATAAGTGTAGAAAGGAAACATCTTCGCTGGCCGCCTTGACAGAACTCAGAAACAACACGGGCGCTGAAATACGTGGTAACGCGCTGGCTCGCGCCTTCCCAAAGAGATTTGCTTTCAGGGATCCGCTCGGGAGAGGCTGATTGGGCCTCCAGAGATAGATCCCATCCTCTGACAACTCACCAAGCCCCCTTGGAATCTTCTGGCTCTGCGCCTCTCATTAACTGCCGTTACCCGAGCCTCTCCCCTCGCAGCCCGGCTCCGTGCGCACTCGCTCCCGGGAGACGGGGCAGGCGCGCAGCTGGGGGGCCTGTCGGGGCGGGGAGCGGCCCCCCTATCGGCCTCTGGAAACCCACATTTTAGAGCCTTGTAGTCATTTCCTTGCTGTGTGTGTGTGTGTGTGTGTGTGTGTGCACTTTCTTTTCTTTCTTTTTTTTTTTTTTCTTTTTATAAAAAAGGAGGCCAGAAGAGAACACCCTCCTTTTACTTCCTAATATATTATGTCCTCCCCTGCCGAGTCCGGGACTTAGTCTGGATTTGGTAACTGAAGTAATATAAATGTTAGCTAAGAAGCATTCCCGCAATGTGGTTCCAATTTGGGCCTGTTTTGAAGTCTAAAGGCCCAATATGTCTCGTGGATTCCTCGCTAGACATTAGCGCTAATGTAATTTGCGGAGGAGCAGCGCGCAGGCCGCGCTCTGGCAGGCGGGCCCCGCCTCTGCGGATCGGACCAGGGCGCTTTCCCCGCGCGGGGAGGGGGGACCCCGTGCCTTCGCCGGTAGCTCCCCCCACCGCTTTTGATGTCGGGAGCTTTGCTCAGGAAATTGCCGGGGTTTGCAGATACATGGAGCAAGGTAAGTGCTGTACCCTGTCACCACCCGCTCCCCGCTCCTGGCTCTGGAAGGAGGCAGCCCAGGCCGGAGGCAGCCTTTCTCTGCAAGCTGTTTGCACTTTCCTTCAATAACGTCTCTCCCCGAACACCCGTGCGTGCATTTTCGGAGCTGAGCTGGGGCGCCCCCCAAACCCACACCCCCACACCCGCCCCCCCCAACCCACACCCCCACACCCGCGCGCTCACACCCCTCCCGAGCCCCCGGCTGCATCCGGGTAATGAGCATCCCCC